TCTTTACCTCACCTGCAGAGATTTTATACAGATCCCATGCAGTGAATAAAGAAAGGGACTAGATGACCTCTGAGATCCTTTCTGATTCTAAGGCTGGGAAGAAAACTTTCATAACAGAATAAAAGAACCTGAATCAAGCTAAATTTTAGGCCTCTAATGCAAACATAAGACCAAAATACTGAGGTGACCCTATGTTTTTCGTTTACTTAATTAGGCCTTTATATTTCAGCCCTCACGGTAAATTATCGGAATATTTGGTACTGTTAGGTACAGGCAGCTGGATGGCTCAGTGGATAGAGTGCCAGGCCTAGAGTCAGGAAGACCTGAGTTCAAATCCAGCCTCAGACACATACCTGTGTGATCCTAGGCAAGTCACTTAACTCTATTTGCTTCAGTTTCCTCATCTGTAAAATAAGGTGGAGAAGGAAATGGCACACTACTACAGTATCTTTACCAAGACAGCCCCAAATGGGGTCACGAAGTCAGACATGACTGAAAGGACTGAACAACAATTATTAAGTACACGAAATACTGTCGGAGACCGTTTCTTTTATCTTCCTGCTTTATAAATAAATCTGAACTTCAAGTCAAGTCAACAAGAATTTATTTACTGTGTGCCCGGTACTGAGGCTACAAAGAAATAACCAAAACAATCTCTGCTCTCAAGGAACTCACAGTCTAATAGGAAATATAACTGCAAACAACTCTGTACAAGCAAGACGTGTGTAGATATAGACACATCTATACATCTTATAGAAACATCTGTAGATATATCTTAAATGTAGCTATATGTAAAGCTACTTAAATTTTCTTTGTAGGTAGTTGATTGCAGGTATGACATAACAAGAGGGAAGACACTAGCATTAAGGGAAATCGGAAAAGACTGTTTCAAAAGTTGTCATCTCCCACCTGCTCCAAATGTTGTTGTATATTAAGAAGCTAGAAGAATGAAGCTTGGAAATTTTAAGTTGTCACTCGCACCCAAAGTCATTCCTTATTGTTTAGAACTGACAACCAGTTCAGAGTAATGTAGACTTTCCAGGCATTCCCGGTGCCGTTTGCTTCTTTACCTTCATTTAGCAGTCATGGGAGTGGTTATGAGTCTAACTAGACAGGTCACTTCTCTGGAGATCTCATAGTTGCGTATTCCTCATTTTTAGAGAAGCCCAAATTGTTTTCTGTTCCTCAGGTTGAGTTCACTCCAGACACAGTCTCTGGAGGTCAGATAGATACAATTTCAAAAGCAAGAAATTCTGTGGTCCATATGGAGAACTAATGAAATGCAAATTTTGTACTTGGTGTTCTCACTCTCTGATTTTTTTTTGCCTCCATTTCTTTTAAATGCAAAACAGAAGGCCTTTCCAGAGCTAACCCATAAAAGGGTTTCTCCAATTCTGTGTGAAAAGGACATAGAACTATCATTTTTTTTTTCTTGTAAGCAAAACCCTCCTAATGATGCTTATAGATGTTTCCATATCCCGTTGATTCTCATTAATCACAAGTTAAACCTCCCTTAAATAACTTATTTCCCCTTTCCTTTCTTCTTGTTGTTCAGTCTTTTTCAGTTGTGTCTGACTCTTCATGACCCCATTTGAGGTTTTCTTGGCAAAGTTACTGGAGTGATTTGCCATTTCTTTCTCCGGCTCATTTTAATGATGAGGAAACTGAAGTAAATAGGATTAAGTGACTTGTCCAGGGTTACACAGCTAGTAATTTGCCATTTATTTCTTCAGTTCATTTTAATGATGAGGAAACTGAGGCATTAAGTGACTTGCCAGGGTCATATAGCTAGTAAGGTGTCTGAGGCCAGATTTGAACTCAGGAAGATGACTCCAGGCCCAACACTCTATCCACTGCACCACCCCGCTGCTGTTTCTTTTCTGCCTCCTTCCAGAAGTGATTATATTTCTTTTTGCTATATGTCAACACAGGAAGAGTACCTGGCTTCATGTAAGCACTTACTAAATGTCTGCTGATTTGATTAATGTGCACACGAAGTATAGCTGTCTATCATGCTTTGGTTTGGCTAGAGCCCGTGTCTGTGACATACAGTAGTTTGTTTTCCTGTCATGCCTGCCCAAACCCACGGTGCTCATTTGGAGCCATTAAGTTTAAAGGTTTTCCAGCATGATGATGTGATGAACATGTTGATGAGGTAAGAATTTCTGGAGAACTCCGTGAGTTCAAAGGTTGGTCCAGGTTTACTGCTGCTGCTCCCTTTGTTAACAAACACCCTCACGATGAGACGTAGTGTGCTAATTTTCTTTAAGGCAGATGAACTCATACTCTGCCTCACTGCTTTGGTTATGAGAATGATGTAGAGATGGTACGGAAGGAGCTGACAGATGCAACCGTCTACCTGGTTTATCACATGAGCACCTGTTGAGGGGGGAAACAGAATCAAATATCAGCTGTGGCTTAAAAGCTATGAGCTTTTTTTTTTTTAATCTCTTCTAATGAAATCTGGTCCAAAAGTTGGAGAAATCTCAATTGAGCATAACAACAGCCTACTCACCCCAGATTACCCTTTGACAATCCTACGTCTGCTTTCCTTATCTTTCCTTTCTTAGATGCCTTTCTACGTAGGTCCACTTGACTATGCTTCACAATTATTTCTTATGTATTTCTTTGTCTGGCAGCAATTAATTTTTTAAAAATTATGAAGTACCTAAACCGTATAAAGTGTAGCATGTAGTGGCAGGCAGGTAAAGTTTAGGAGGCTGCACTAAGTTTAGGTAAGGTCTATTACGTACCAGGCCAGGGGTGGGGAAACCCGGGGCCTCAGGGCCACATTTTTAGGTCCTCAAGTGTGGCCCTTTGACTGAATCCAAACTTCACAGAAGTGTGAATTTGAGGACCTCAAGGCCATAGGCTCCCCTACCCCTGTACCAGGTACTGTGCTTAGCGCTAGGGATACAAAAAACCGTAACAACAAAAGGACCAAATGAAAAAACAAACTCTGATCTCAAGGAGATTTTTACTGATTTGTACAGTGATGTACACATACATAAACAGCCATGTTATAAAATAGGCTGTTGTTCATTGTGTCTGACTCTTCATGACCCTGTGGACCATACGACACCAGTACTCTCCCTGGGGTTTTCTTGGCCAGAATACTGGAGTGGTTTGCCATTTCTTTCTCCAGAGGCAAACAGAGTTAAGTGACTTGGCCAGAGTCACACATCTAGTAAGTGTCTGAGGCTGGGTTTGAACTCAGGTCTTCCTGACTCCAGGCCCAGCACTCTATCCACTGAGCCAGGAGAAATGTCAATTAAATGCTTTGTGAAGTTTAAGGATTGAGATTTCACTACTGATTTGATAGGTTAGAAGGAAATGAGGGAAGGACTAGAAGAAACTTTTGTTTCCTATACAGCAGCTCACAGTATTTTGTATGGAGGTAATAAATGGGATAATACTTCAAAAAAAAAAAAAGAAAAATACTGTATTAGTGCTAATTGTTAACCTAGAGAGTAACAGTATTTCTGGCTAACTGAAAAAAGGAAGTATCAGGCTACTTGAGATCTGTGATCTCATTCACGTGGATACTTTCATGTATATCATCAGGGAGAATATTGCAAACGCCAGGATTTTTCTCCCCCCTGAAGAGGAAAAACTTGACTTTTAAACCTGAAAGAGTTTCTGTATTGCTGCTTCCTTTTCTCCCACGAAGGCCAGTCTTAAATATGATCCCTTTTTGAGACAGCAGCCTGTGAAAGCACAAATCTTTGATCCCTGGTATAAATGACGGAGTAATTCAGTGGACTTGAAAAAGGTAAATAGATCATAGTACCTTGTCTATACCAGGGCAGAACACTTAGCAACTTCAAGAATTCTGTTAATGTTTGTATTATTGAAACTAGTCGTCTGAGATGTCCTACTTGAGTGTTTTCTGAGTTAAAATCTGGTCTCAGACAAGTACTAGCTGTGTGACCCTACACAAGTCACTTAACCCGTTTGCCTCAGTTTCCTCATCTGTAAAATGAGCTGGAGAAGGAAATGGCAAACCCCTCCAGTATCTTTGCCAAGAAGAACCCAAATGGGGTCACAAAGAATCGGATACAAGTAAAATGATTCAACAGCAACAAAACTTGAGTATTTTAATTTCCACAAATGTTTGAACTTCATGACTTTTATTTCATAACAGGGTTCTAAACCAGGTAGCACTTTCATATGCCAACTGTGGTCGTCCAAGCATGACACCTTAATTAAATCAGCATATGATGTTAGAACAGTGTGATTCACAAATGGGCAAACAGAAGCTGAATTCATGAATTTGTTATTCTCTGCTTTGAAGATTTGCTAATGCTCAGTCTTTAACGAGATAACACGGCCTTATTTTTTTTTTAATCCTTTTTTAGGAGCTTTAAACATTATCCAAAATGAAAACAAGCAAAACTTTCCCGATTCAATTCATGTTCTTATATACAGTCTCTTAGGCATTATGTAGAAGTGGTATCCTAATCTCAAACTCATCAAGTTTGGAGAATACAACTGTTTTTTTAAGCCTTCAAACCTAATAGGTAGTCTCAGGGAAGGGGGTTCCTAACCATTTTGCTGTTATTGTTGAATAATGGACATCTTTGCTAGTCCATTTAAGCCTGTGGAACCTTTCTCACAATGTACTTAATTGCATAAAATAAAATATATAGAATTACCCACGAAACCAATTGTGTTGAAGCAGTTATAAAGCTTTTTTTTTAAAGTTCATTAGATAGGTTAATAATAACCCTGTGGCCTTAATGGGTGGAACATAAACGTTTTGTTTTCTCTGACAGAATTCTCCAAGACAAAGCCCTGAAAAAACATTAAAAGAGCTTCAAGATGCCATTTTAAATGTAATATTTTCAGGAAATATCCTTGCACAGGGATTCCTGAATTCCTTAAAAAAGAAATACTTGAACGTCAATAGTTAAAGCACAAGAATAAGTATCTACATTAATTTTTCATATTCAAACCAATTTTCTTGGTATTTTAAAACATCTGTGATCTTTCTTCCATAGGTTGAAATTATCCAATGATGAAATCAAACGGGCAATTTTAACCATGGATGAGCAGGAAGACCTGCCAAAGGACATGTTGGAACAAGTGAGTCACAAATACGCGTGCACTTCATAGGACAAATTCTAACCTGACTTTACAACAGGGACTGGGAGATGGAGAAAATCTGACCTTTCCTAATAAAAGGTCCATCTCTGCAATGAATAGGTTGGACCAGGGTGCGTTCCAACTCTAATAAAAGACTTCCTGTAATATTCATCACACCACTAGGTGGTACAATGAGTATATTGCGATCTATGCAGACAATGCGATGGTTCACTTAGTAATACAAAGGCATTAACTACCTCAATAGATATAGGACCTTGAGAAAGATTAAAAATGAATATTCTACGCTATTCAGAGCTGGGTGGCCCAGTACATGGAGCACTGGGCCTAGAGTCAGGAATATCTGAGTTTAAATCCTGCTCAGATCCTGAGAAAGTCAGTTGAGCCCTCTGCGCCTCAGTTTTCCCATCTGTAAAATGGAGGTAATAATGGCACCTAGGGTTGTTCTGACAATCAGTCAAAAACACGTAAAGCACTTTACAAATCTTAAATCGCTATATAAATGCTTCGTTACATTATGTTTATTATCGTTGCTCTTTAAAATGATGGGATAAGGATAAGGAATTAAATCCTTTTTATCTCCTGTAGTTTACTGTTTTATTCAGTGGATGAGAATTTCCTGTCTTCTCTACAGTGGCATTATTGTACAATCATAAAAAAGCCTAGATGGCACGCTTATCAAACTTGCAAACAACATACAGCTGGAAGGGGCACCAACTGGCTCAAACTTAGGACCAAGTCATATAACATTAAATTCCATTTGGTTTCAAAAATCAACTTCATAATTATAAGAGGGAATATGTGGGTCAGTAGAAAGCTTTGAAGAAAAAGGACATGGGTTCAAATCCTGTTACTTAAATACCTATGGGACATTGGGTCAGGTCACTGTACTCTTCTTGGCTTGAGTATTCTCATCTCTAAAAGGACGAGGTTTGCCTGGAGGACTTCTGAGGCTCCTTCTAGTGCAAAATCCATGATCCTGTGAAATTTGTTAGTTTGTAAAAAGAGATTTGAGAATCGGAACTTCAAGGGATTCCTGAAGTTGCCGTGGAGTCCAGGGGGTCTTTGTAGGTCACCTAACACCTGTCAGATTGTAAGCAGTAGAACACTGCCATTTCACAGGGGTATCTCATGTCTTATTGAACTGTGTGGTTCAAAAGACCTGTGATTTCATCATATGAGGCGATCACAAACCTTCCGTGCCTTAGTGGTCAGTCTTTGTGAATTGTTATAGCTTTGAAAAAAAAAAATTCATCCTGGTGGCCCAGCCTCCTGGTTAATGAACCTCTCTGAACTTAGGCTGATTTTCCAATAAGAGACTCTGTACTCGAGGCCTTTCCAGATTGTTGCAGAGATTTCCCTTGCTCATACTCCACTGCCATAGCCTTTAAGAATCTGGAGTCCCTTCCATGATATCTAAGGCATCAGAGTAAGATGTTAGTAGAATAAATCTGTATTATATAAGCAGATTTATGTATTAATTCTCGGGGGGATTTATCTTTTTTTGTTGTTGCTGTTATCAACAGAAGCTATTGATTTGTCATCATTGGACTATCATCTTTAGTTGTTTTGCATGGGGGAGCAAAAATGGGTGATATTTTGACTTAGCTGTCTATGTTCTCCTACCCTGTCCCACACCTAAGCATTAACGTGTGTGAAACTTCTGTCCAGGCTGTCATGATGATCTCATTAGCACTTTATGTCACCAACCTAGATATTTTCAGATTCTAGAAGCAGTTTTGTGCTGCTTACTTTATGCTGCTCAGTACCGAGCCTAGAATATTTAAATAAGTTGGCTCCATTGACTGCTCTGTGTGTGTGCGCACATGCTCACCTTGTTCTTCGTTCTTCCTCATGCCATCATAAAACATTTCATAAAAGATAGGGAGTGGTAAGGAGGCATGAAGTCGCCACGCCTAAAGCTGACCTGGTCTTTAACGATGAGTGTCACAGTCCCTTTGTGTCCTTAGAGTCCCAGCGTACCACCACTCCCCGCAATTACCTTGGCTGAAATTGCCAGAAACAGAAGCTCTGACAACCATCAGTTGGAGAAATTTTAACATGTCTGATGGTGTAATAGAAGGAATACTGGCTTTGGAATTAGAGAACCTGTGGGATCCTGGACAAGTCACCTCATCTCCTCGGGCAGCTTTCTTACCTGAAAAATGGCAGAATTGGACTAAATCTCAAGGATCTCTTCCAACCTGAAGTTTTATTTATTTGAGTCAGTTAGCCAAATGGTTAAAAGTAACTGCAAGTTCACTGGCTTCCTTATGTATGAATAGCTTGGAAAAGTTAATTCTTGAACCTAAAATGTATTTTTCTACAATACTTTGTTGGTTCTAAGCTTCCCCTACCAATCAAGGCATAGAGCTATGACAGGACAGGCATGAATTGATCTTTTCAAATAAAAATAAACAGGTTTAGGAGGCTACCTTCCCTTTATAGAGGATACTGCATTCCAATTCCTTGCTGGAAAAAAAAAAGCTACTTGTCCTGAGAAAATGACTGTTTGCAAAACTGTTTTCATCCTAAGACTTTCAACCACTATTTACAAGGTAGTCCATTTAAAATTCCACAAGATCCATTTACAGTGAAACTATATCCAGCAAAATTCCTCTTTGAGTGAAAGTATTTCAAAGCCCTGCCAAAAGAGCATGAAATGCAAATAGGACACACATCAAAAAGATACTTGTCAGGATATCAGCACGGTGAAACGTAATCTGCCCAAGTGACACATTTTATATCCGTTCTCTTGTGATAATATTGTGGTAGAAAGTAACTTTCTCTATCTTTGTTTTGTCATCTCCCTAATTTTCCCCCCTCCTCTCTATTTTCCTGTTTCTGCTTCCATTCTTACTTATGCATCTTCTTTTCTCACCTCATGCTTTCCAGACTAGGTTTTCTCTTAGGCCTACTTAGGTTAAGTATCCAGGGTCTAACATCGCATTCCTTACCACTCTGCTTATCTGCCAGATAAGTCTCGTATGCCCAATAAATATGATATATATTTAATAGTCCTTAGTTCCTGTCTCTTTTCATCAATCTTATTCAACGTAAGTAACAAGCAGGTAGCTTCCTCCATTTCATCTGAAAGTGGAGGGAGCCTTAAACATTGGACCATTTACCCACAGCACTATAGTACTCAACCTTGCCATACTTAATTTTTATTATTCTCTTTTATGTACTCTACATTCTAGCCAGACTGGCTTCTTAGTTAATGCCTGAACTTGGCATTCCATTACCTCCCTGGAATGCACCCCCTCCCTACCTCTTAGAAATCCTAATATCTTCCGTGAGTCTCGGCTTATACCACTTCCTATGGGAAGCCTTTCCTGATCCTTCTTGTATCTCTCCTTTCTCAAATTAAGTACATGTTTACTTACATGTATATGTTCTATTCCCCAGTAGAATGTACCAAAGCTACTTGAGAATAGAATCTGTTTTGGATTCCGTCTTCCTATCTTTCTAAGCTAGTTATTCATCTAGCACTCTTACCTAACTGGCAAGCTACTTGGCTTAATCCCCATGTAAGACCTTCTACCACCTGCTCATATTATTCCTTCTTACTTTTGCTTTTTGTAGTCCCTGGCTCCTTTCAAGGCTCACCTTAAGTGCTGCCATCCCCTTCAAGAAGCCTTTTCTGATTTCTTCTGGTTATTTGTTTCCTCTCACCCCCAAATCACTGTTTGTTTATTCTGTATATATCCTGTATATGGATGTGCAAACGTGCACATACGTACATATTTATATACACATACACAGCCCCATATTTATTTCTATGTTCTGTGGGTAGTAGAGAGAGAAGCAATTTTTCCCCAACTGTACTTTGCTTTGAAGGAACATGTGGACTAGAGAATCTGAAATCCAGCTATGCCCATAGTAGCCAACTCTGTATTGAATACGTGAAATAGTCGGGGTGGGAGGCAGACAACAGGCAATCTTAGTGGAAGGCACACACATAATCAGTGCAGTGTTATCCACTCAAAAGACTCTAGGCTAGGAGGCAGAGATGGTCAAATATTGCCCTGCTACTAATTAGCTGTGTGACCTTAAGCAAAGTGAATTTGCCTCCTTGCCGAGCCTTAGATGCCCCATCTGTAATGTGAGTTGGAAAATTGATTCTAAGATCACTTTTGGCTCTAAAATTGTGAGGGTGAAGCAATTTTCAGTAGAGAACCTTGGCAATCCATGTTTCCTGGTAAGAAAAGTAACCATCAGAAGTCTATTGAAGAAGGAAGAAAGGAAGGAAATGAGCCTTTACTAAGCATCTACCATATGCCAGACACTGGGCTGTGTCCTTTTACAGATATCCTATGTATTTCTTACAACATCCCTTGGAGACATGTGCTGCTATTATTATTATCCCCATTTTACAGTTGAGAAAACTAAGGGAGACAGAGTTAAGTGACTTGCCCAGAATCACACAGCTAGTAGGTATCTTAAGGTTGGATTTCAACTTGGGTTTTCCGGAAACCAGGTCCAGTGCTATATACACTGTACCACCCAGCTGCCTCACCTAGCTCTAAAGACTATAGAAAATTCATTTTTAACATCTCCCAAAGTCCTGAACTCATTGAAGTACTAATTCCTTCGAGTCACTGAATGAACCACCATGTTGCATACAGAGATCTCAAACCTAAATGCTGCCAAAATGCCCCTTTAGGCATTATCAGTCCTTTCTTAGAATAGACAAGCTTGCCTTATATGGCCATTTATCTCCTCAATGAGCTTAGTGGTACAAGTTAACTCAGATGAAAATTCGTAGTTTTTAGAAATCAAATTTTCTTTCTTATTAGAACTTAGTAAATATGAATATTTCAACATACAAAGAATAGATGGAAAAATTTTATGTGAAACTTTGAGCTTTTATATGTTTTTTTTTAGTGTATATTAAATTTAAAACAATGATAACAAAAATAAACAACAACATCGGAAGCTGGACAGCTCGAAGTTTTAAAAGACTGTGTATGTGTTTGGGTTGAGTGTGAGAAGCATTGGGTATGAAATGTTGGAGAAAGACCAGCAGTTTACTTAACCTTGCATAATAAGACAGGAAGAGAACAGTGAATCTGCCCATGGGACTTGTAGTATGAAACCAGCACTGCCACTCTGAAATAAAAGTGATGGCAAAGGATCTCGATTTATTCTTCCTTTTAAAGGATGTTAACATTTTCTTTATTTGGGAAAGAGAGAACATTTCTATGAGGATCACCCTTTGAATGGTAATATAAGATCTTCTCCCTATTGTGGCATTTAATGCTCTCATCAATATGGCTCCTACTTACCTTTCCAGCCTCAGTTCATACTACTCCCATTCCCTTACTTCATCCTATATTCGCTGACCCCAATGCATTTTCATAGTCCTTTCTTCATGTTTAGAAAGTACTCCTTTCTCATATCTGCTTATTGATTTCTTTCTTGTCCTTCAAGGCCTCACTCCATGAAGCTTTCCTTGACCGTCCCTCTTCCCAAAATGAAAATGATCTTTCCCCCTCAGGTTTTCTTGAAGTGTTTTGTTATTTACTTCATCACAAATTCTCATATTTGTTTCTACATATATGCCCTATCTCCTTGATTAGATTGTAAGTTTCTTGAGGGATGGGACTGTGTTTTTCCTCTTTGTTTTTCCAAAATCCAACACAGTATGTTGTCATATCGTGGGCACTAGGTCTATAATGATGACAGGTTTCCAAAGCAAGAAGTTACACAAATGTCTAATGTTTTCTACTCTTCGTGTAAATATATAAACTTGTGGATAATCACTTAGAAATTCTTTCCAATAAATAAATGAATGAATGAATGAATGAATGAATGAATGAATGAATGAATGAATGAAAAATCAAATAAATAAATAAAAGAAATTCTTTCCAAAGCAAATGGCCCCAGGGAGACACCCATTTCTACTTATAATATCTCAAAAGGTTTGTTCAGGATCTAATCAGAATCACAGTTGGATGGCTGGGGACTGCTATGAATGCGACTACCCCCCTTTTAAAAAATACTTATTATAAATTGTGACAAGGAATGAAATACTTTTTATTGTTATCTGGCCCAAAATTCTGTCAGATACAGGACAAGACCTTGTCCCCGTCCTCTAGAAACTTACAGTCCCTTGTAAAGAAAATACTTGAATGGCTCAGTGGATAGAAAAGTGTTGGAGTTGGAGTCGGAAAGACCTGAGTTCAAATACCATTTCAGAAACTTACTAGCTGTGTGACCCTGGCCAAGTCCATACATAGCTCTTGGCTTCAGTTTCTTCATCGGTAAAATTGGGATAATAATAATACTCACCTCACAGAGTTATTGTGAGCCAGGTGAGCTATGTAAAGTGCTTTGCAGACTTTAAAACACTATATAAATGCTGGCTATTATTATTGTTATAAACAATTAGAGGAGAAGATGGTAGATAGTCAAGTATGGTGCTAACCACAAGGATACCAGAAATTCAAGGAAGTAAGGGGAGGAAATTTTTCATAAACGTGTCTCCTGATGTGTTTCTCTTAGCTCCTGAAATTTGTTCCTGAAAAAAGTGATATTGACCTGCTGGAGGAGCACAAACATGAGCTGGATCGGATGGCAAAAGCTGATAGGTTCCTTTTTGAGATGAGCCGGTACGTTTGAGCACGCTTACAATTAGTCCACTTGTCACTTATCTCCCTTACTGCGATGTTGTCACTAAGGAATAATTGCTTTTAGTTCAGGGATATATTTATGTAGCTGGACCTAGATCATCTTAGGAGTTCAAATGAAGGTAAAACTATCCATGTTATGGAACCAGCCTGACTCCATAAGTGGGAAATTTCCATTTGAAACCTCTCAGTGATCTAAACTGTTCCTCATTTAGACTTGTTTGGAATTTATTTTATTTTCTTAAAACATAGAAATAATTCTCTTACCTATCATGCTAGTAATGAATCTCAAAACTTCTGCCCCTTGTCAATCAGTACCACTTTTCTTCCCTACCATTACTAGGTTGGTTTGTCTTTTTATATAGTGTTTCCCTCTCTACCCTTCTTATGTATGTGGGATCATGTTTAACAGTGATGCTCTGGAGGTTGTTTTTTTCCCAAGCAAGAGCTGGGGCCTAGACTCAGGTCCATATTCACCATGGCCCACAGATGCTTAGGAGGCTGCTCCATCCTGAGAAACAGTCTAATTCAGAATATATCAGTCCAGGGCTATCCAAGGAGACCGTGGGTTCCTAAATATTTGGATTCGATTAGAAACAAGCTCTTCTCATATTAAGGATAATCCATAACTGAACCTAATTCTCACTTTTTCCCATTCAAGATTTTTACTGCCATGGTTTGACAATTTACAGTCCCAGTTGACTGTAGGACATACAATTCAGAGATAGTGGAACAAGAGCCAGTCCCATGAATAGTTGGGAAAAGTCATTGGCCACCTACACAATATGATTTGGGGTATGTGGTCCTCCTCTAAGCCTGAAATCAGCACCATTAGATTCGCTAATATAGACAACAAAGGTTTTCTCGTTGATAACATGCAAATTGTTAGCTGCAGTGACTCTCCAAGATGTCTCCTTAACACAGATTGATTTTTTTCAGCTATGTGTTTACAATGAGGGTAGGGAGAGAGAAGCCCTGTGTATTTGGGGAGCAAGCTGAGCTAATGGGGTTCTAAGGGTGAAGGAGCAGGTTGTAATGAGGGCATACGGAAGACAATAAACAGTTTTGCCAAGATATAACTCTGTGTGGCATTAAATAGTAGATTTTCACAGGTAACTAAATTTCCCCATCTTACTGTAAAAGTGCGTTATTATTTTTTGTTCCCTCTGTGTATAAAAGAAATGTCCAAAACTTTCTGACTTCTGAGTGTGTAATGATGACTTTGACAATGGCTAACAAACCTTCTGACCATTTACTACCCTTGATTGCGTTGGGTCAGAGGGATTTGCATACCATTTTCTCTGACCCAGGTCATAATGGGGAAAACATCCTCTCAAAGCAAACTTGGCAGATTGCCTTCTGCACCTGTGCCTGAGAGCCATTGTGGGTGTCTGGTGGCAACCCCTCCCCAATCTCTCCCTGTTCTCGTAGGAGCACTGGTATCAAATGAATGTTAATTAGCCTGTGCTTGATCTTACAGAATAAACCATTATCAGCAAAGGTTGCAATCCTTATACTTCAAAAAGAAGTTTGCAGAGCGCGTGGCTGAAGTTAAACCCAAAGTTGAAGGTAAATGAATGGGCCTGACCTAAAGACTAATGCTGGTGATTATCAGTTTCCTAGCAGTCAGGTATTTTGTGTCACTTTTTAAGAGTGCAAATAGTGAACACGAGCTACTCACAGATTTACAATGGTGACTCTTTCTGCCTTGTATAGACTTGGTTGCAAGGACAGTAGAATCCTTTTATGATGGTGCTAGGAGACAGAACTAACACCCACCTCATGGACCAACAGTGTAATAGCTTCTTCTTCTGTTTACTTTTGTTGGGAGCCTGAGAGAAAGGGAAAGGCCCATGATTTGGTCCACCATATGTCTGAAACTATGTACTGAGTTACATCATAGCAGGGTCCTGTTCCTGTGTTTTTTCTGAGGGGCAGTATTGTAGTCTCAATATACTATTGGGGGGGAAAAATCTATGCATAGTTTCTAAATATCTGAAATGTATGTATGTGTCTATATACATATACATACACACGCACACATACATAGATGACACTTGCCTATCAAGTAATTATGGAAGGGAGGCCTGAAATTGAGAATCCTTTGGAGAATCTCCATCCTGACACTCACTAGCAACATCGTGTGACACAGACCTGCCGGTTTCATCATTGGTATGGGGATAATGATATCTGGTTGAGAAGGATGGGAAAATATTTACTAATAATTTTGAAAATGGAGAATACCATCTCTATAAGTGATGTTCTCCCATTTATTAGTCAGTAAAAAATCAAGGTCAAATTTTGTAGCATTTGTAAGGTTGACATTTAACAGCGCTGGCAGCTGATCTCAGTCATCCCCTTTCCCTCATTCCCTTCACATTTTGTTTTTGGCTTTTCAAATTTCCCAAAAATCGTCACTAATGGTCTGGAGTGGTTTGCCATTTTCTTCTCAGCTCATTTCACAGATGAGGAAACAGAGGTAAACAAGGTTAAGTCACTTGCCCAAGGTCACACAGCTAGTTAATTGTCTGAGGCCGGATTTGAACTTAGGAAGATGAGCCTTCCTGATACCAAGTTCAACACTCTTATCTACTTCACGCCTAGATACCCTACTAATAACATAATCGTCCAGAGTTTAAAAAAAAATCTTTTGTTCATATGGATGATATATAGGAAGCACTGAAACTGCATAGTTTGTGTTTTGTTTTTAAGCGATTCGAGTAGGTTCAGAGGAGGTGCTGAAAAGCACTGCCTTGCGGCAACTGTTAGAAGTAGTCCTGGCTTTTGGAAATTACATGAATAAAGGGCAGAGAGGCAACGCGTATGGATTCAAGCTCTCCAGCCTTAATAAGATCGCCGACACAAAATCTAGCATCGACAAGTGAGTACCTTCTGATATTTGGTTAAGGTTTTGCCTTTTGTATGCTCTTCTGTCACCCATGTCCTCCATGACCCTAAATTCTTCCACCATTTGATACTGACATTTTTCTGTCTGCTCCTCTGGCTCCTCTTCTCTTCACCCTTTAACTCTCATTGTAACTCCCCAAGGCTTACTGCTTTCTCTAAGCTCAGACCTGAAGACACTTATCCATTTGTATGGTTTTAATGGCCACTTATATGCAGGCGAATCCCAAACTCAATCTGTAGCCCTGACTTATCTTATATTTACCCATGTTACCAGCCCATAAGATGGCTCTACATAGAAAATTTTAAACTCTACATGGTGGAAACTGAGCTTAATGTGTCCCCCTTTACTCCTACTTCCCGACAATTCCCAATTCCTAATTTCACACGTGCTCTTCAAAGGCTCTACCATTTTGTCATTATTTCTAGGAGCAAAGCCCTTGACTCTTTCATTTGCTTTATCTCTCCCCACCTTTTACATCCAGTTTATCACCAAATTAAGCTTATTGCATCTTCAGTCTCTCAAGTCAACACCTTGTTTGTGATTACTGCATTAATTTAAGTTCTTTTGACATTGTGTATGGGTTACTGCAACAGAATCCTTGCATTTTGGCTCTTAGGTCTCCAGTCTTCCTATGTTGAATATTCTCTCCCTGAAATATTATTTTCATTATTTTACTTTCTTACTCTTAAGGATCTTCAGTCACTCTCTTTGTCTAATATCTCCAAACTCAATTCTACCTGATGTTTCAGGCCTAACACGAAATCATGCACCCTCTCTCTGTCTCAGCTACATATTCACCGTTACTTCAAAAATCTGTTTGCTTGCTGACTTCCTCCACTACCACACACACGTAGCTTGTTCATCCCTCCCTGAGTTTTCCCAATCTGGAATATCATTCATCATTCCTTCTCTGCTTTCAAACCCTGGCCCAAAACCCACTTCCCTCAGGAAAGCTTCTTTTTCACATGACCATGCTCTTGGCATCCTCTCAGCCCTTATGAACAATGCGTATACTATATTACTTTAAAGTCATTATTGTGTAGAAGTGGCCTTTTTTCCCCCCCTTTTAATGTGTATGTTATGTAACCTCACCAGGATTTGTAAGATGCTTTGGGACTGGGTCCATGTCTTCAATTTTCTTACATCTCTCTTCTTCTTTCTCTACCATAATTCTTCTAATGTAGCACTCATTTGAAAATCTATAAATTTTTGCTTTAGGAGTATTGCCCAAGTGCTCCGACTTCAGTGGGGCACACCTATGTATCCCTCCCCCTCATGAAGTTAGTAACCAACTACTATCATCAGAGTATTTGGCAATATTATTGATAATCAGTTATTAAATCTCTCTGTGGTGTAATAGATGTTAATGATGATGATAATGCTGGGACATTTGACTAGTCTTTTAACCCACATTTGATGGAATCCTTTTGCTTACATCTGTTCACAAAAGACAGCAGCTGGTTACTGTTCTTTTGAAGCCAAGTATATATTATATGAGACAAACATTCTTTAAAAATAAAGTTAACCATTTTCTCCTGTTACATGAAGTCCCTAATATTTCCCGTTTGGAGTTGAAAGTCCATTATAATTCTCTGTTTAATTTTTCTACCATCTGATAGGGGAAGTTTGTTTTTAGTATCTTGAGAAGTTTACTCTAGTATTGAATGTGAAACTGGGATACTGCTGAACTCTGGGATTTGAGTACTCTTCATAATAGAGATTGGGGGACAGGTGACCTGTTTTCTAATGATTGCAAAGTTGAAAAGTCCTTGGAAAGAGCTCTTTTCTTACAGGAAGACAGCAAAATTTCATACAGGCAGAAGGCCAAGAGTCTAGGCTTTTGGGTGGTCCCTGACGTACCTGTGATGCCTGAGAAAGCTGTAGCTGTCACTTAGAGACTTTTCCTTTTTAAATTTTCTCTGGGTAATTTTTGTCCTCTACTATCTATGTCTTCACTGAGAATAAAGAAGTTCAATCCTCAGGGCATGTTTTGGGGAGTACGAAACAGAGTTCTTCATTGCTATGAGGATGTAACATTTAATCTTCTGAGCAAGGGACAAACCCATGTACTAACGTAATGCAAAATATCTGGAGGAAGGTATCCAGGACATAGGGTGGACCCTGTTCTCCCACCCCCACCCCTCTGCCCCCAGAGGATTTACCAGGGAAAACATGAACAAGAATTAAACAAGATGAGATGGTATGGGTAGGTCGTGACTTATTACATATCCATTGAAGTATATTAGCTGTTAAAACTACAAAAATTTACATGTAGACTTGGTTCTGTGCAGTATGAAGTAGATAAGTCCCTTCCTGGTAGTTATAAACTTGGTAAATACTTATTGCTAGGTGTTGCGGTGGATAGAATACCGGGCCTTGAGTCAGGAAGATCTGAGTTCATATCTGGCCTCGGACACTTAATAGATGTATAACCTGGGGCAAGTCACTTCACCCTGTTTACCTCAGTTTCCTCTTCTGTAAAATGAGCTAGAGAAGAAAGTGGCAAACTACTCCAGTATCTTTGTCAAGAAAACCCCAAATAGGGTCAGGAAGAGTCGGACACGACTGAATGACAACAACAAAGTCCCTTCCTGGTAATTATACACGTGTTACTGCTAGGATAGCTATACTCTACATACTATATTTCTAGTATAGTATTATAAGACTCTTCATTTTTTATCTAATACAGTGGAACGACACTGGGTTTGGAATCTGAAGTTTTCTGAGTTCTAATCCTAACTCTGCTACTTAACCGTCTATGTCCTTAGACAAGTCATTTAACCTCTCTAGGCCTCAATTTCCTTATGTGAAAAGTGGAGTTGAAATAGGTGGCCTCTAGGTCTGTGTAATCCTGCAATCTTCCCAACTCCCAGCCTTTGAGCAAACTACTCTCTGTGCTTGAAATGCACTACCTCTTCCCCTGTGTCTCTTATAAGTCCTAGCTTCCTTCAACTCACCTCCGACAGTAAGATTTTCCTGATGCCCCTGGTTTTTAGTGCTTTCTTCCTCTTCAAATTATTGTGTTTATGTTTACCTGTTTATGTATTATATCTCCTCTGCTGCCTCAGTAGAATTTTATAGCTGAAAGTGACTGGGAGAACAGGGACCGGATTTTGTCTTGTCTTCGTATACTCAGATCCTTGGAACGTAGTAAATAAGTCCTTATTGGAATTTTGTTGTTCTTCTCGTTACGTAGTTGTTTTTCAGTCGTGTCCAACTCTTTGTGACCCCTTTTGGGGTTTTCTTGGCAAAGATACTGGAGTGGTTTGCCATTTCCTTCTCCAGCTCATTTTACAGATGAGGAAACTGAGGCAAACAAGGTTAAAGTGACTTTCTCGGGGTCACACAGCTAGTAAATCTGAGGTCAGATTTGAACTCAGGAAGATGAGTCTTCCTGACTGTAGGCTCGGCACACTATCTACTGTACTACTTAGCTACCCAAACTAATAGACACTAAATACTTATTGAATTAAACAGAATTTTGAGAAACACTGTCCCGCCTCCAAAATTATTTCTGTGTAGAGTTGTTTTAGTGTATTTGTACTCTTCTAGGTGTGTTGTAATTATGTGGAGCACACAAATGTCAACCCTAGAAGCTGTTATTGTTGTTATTCATTCTTCATTTTCAAAGAGGACCCATGAGATTGTGGCCAAGGGACAGTGTGTTCTCTCTGTGGCTGATCAGTCATCTACGAGTTCAGAAGTCTCTACCCCAGGTCGGTTACAAGTAGTCCCTTAGAACATGTGGGCTGGAGATGTCTCTGGATCTACACAGCTCCCACTGTAAAGCCATTCTAGAAGAGGTGACTGCTATAATATCTTTGTAACTATCTCAAATCACAGTGATATCCCTGCTGTTCACATTTGGAAGGTGTGGTTTACTGAAGAACACACAATTCAGCCACATTTCTTTCATTTGGAATTTTTACTGACCTGTCATGGAATAATAGTATTTCATCTTTATATGGTCTTCAGTGAGTTGGTTTGCACCTGTTACTTCATTTGAACCTTGCAGTAACCCTGAGGACAAGAAGTGTTATCTTTTATTTTACAGATGAAACTGAAACACATCCAGTCACATCACTAGCAGGTAGAATTTAAACTAGAACCCAAGCTAGTCTCCTAATAAATCACTGTTATGCAGCAACTTTCATACATGCTGCCTTTCCTTAGTCTAACGCTCATTCATTCATTCCATAAATATGTGATAAGTCCCTACTACTTATAAGGCAGGAAACCAAGGTGTGAGGGAGTAGAAGTAGGAATTGGTGTTGGGGGCGAGGGGTGGCAGAGGAAAATTAGGTCCTTTCTTCAATGAGTCAGCAGCCTGGTAGAGGAAACTAATATGTACGCACAAGTGATTATAATTCAAGGTACGATATGCATGTAAGAGAGATGAATGTGGTGCTATGAGATGTCATACTGAGACTATGGCAAGATTTATGTAGTCTGTGCCTAAATTATTGCATGTTTCAACAAATCTTAATGTTTTACTCTTTTTGTGGCCTCCTGAAGTTTGAATTATAGGACTCTTTATAAATGGTAGGCTGGTCAGTACTCAGTCAGTGCGGTCACTGTGTTTGTTGTACGTAACAAAGTTTTGAAAAGAGTCAAGTTACTGGAGACTTAACTAAAGCATAGTTTTATTTGGTTCTTTGTCTATCTATGGACGTTCAGTATTCACTTTTCTTCTGTTACCAGTCTTCGAGAATCGGTATTTAGATGAATGAGCCTATATTTGGACAGAAATCAAATAAGGCCGCATTTTATATAATCAAGGTTTATAGACACATACCCCTGCCACCACCAAAAATTGTAGTTCAGATAGTTAAAGTAATTATTTGCTTCATTCCTTATGATGTTAGCAAATGTCTTTGGGCTTTGAAATAAGAAGAAAATTCAAATTAAATCCAAAGTGCTTTGCTAGGTGCCAAGTGCCTCATACATATTAATAATTATCATATGCCGATCGGTTTTGCTCTGATTATTGGGACCCCCCCAAAAAAAATATGGAAAGGAGAAACACTAGGATAGTCAAAATACATGAGCAGGCAATCACACATAATCAGACTCTGGCTTCTAGCATGAAGCAAAATACTTTCTGTCTGAACTAATTATAATTGGAGAGAGAGGCAGACCTAGATATTATAATAATAATCATTGGCATTTGTTTAACATCTGAAAATTGATCAAGCATTTTATATCTCATTTGGACCTTAAAGCACTATGACTCAGGTGTATTGTGGATGATATTATCCCCATTATACAGATAAGGAAACTGAGGCTTGCAGATGTTGAGGTTTTCCCATGGTCACCCAGCTAATAGATGTCAGATCAGGGTTTGAACCCAGGTCTTCTCGATTTCAAGTCCAGCACTCTATTCACTCGTGTTAGTAGAAATGTTATTTGACAACTATAGTGAAACCTTAATTGATTCAGACGTATCTGAATAAAACAGAATCATTACTTTTTAAAAGAAAAATCTTTTAAAATATTATTTTGGAGTTCATACAGTAACCGAGCTAGCCAGAGTATTGCCCAGCACCTCAGGATCTCACCTGCAAACTGTGGACAGATATGCCTACGTGCTTTTGGGGTGCAGCTCATCTGAGTTTTACAGGCAAAGCATGCTAACTTAATTGCTAGTACATATAAGCTAGTAGCTCAGTAGAGTGTAAACATCTGCCCACTACTACCATTGTTTGCTTGAGTGTTGCTAGGTCTCATTTGAACAGGCGTAGATGAATTATAATTGAAGTGCAATTTAGTTATATAGTTAAGTTTAGGCAGCCTATACATTAATTGTGTGATTCCATATAAAAAGCCTTTGTATGTACTTGGCCTAGAGTACCAAATTCTCATCTTTTTAATATACATAAAGCTTATAGAATCTCAGATTTAGAGATGGAGGTCACCGTAGAGGCAATCAAAGCCAGCCCCTTCATCGTATAGATGAAGAAACTAGGGCCCTGAGAGGTTACATGAATTTCCCGGGGCCACCCAGCTAGTAAGAGGCTGGGGTAGGACCAGTCTTCTTGACTCAAGTCTAGTGCCCTATCTACCCTGCTACTTCTCAAGCTATTAACAGGAAAGTGCTTATATATCCAGTTGGTATGTCTTGGAGCTAAAAAAAAAAAATGAAAAGGGGTCCTAGGACTACTTGAACCATGAGATTGTCACTTTGTAGCACACACTCAGTGTCCTATCTAGAGCTCACTTTAGAACATCTTGTCTCTCTCATCAACCCTGCTCAGACAGCAGAATGAGTTTAGCAGACTGAGGCATTTAATGAAAGAATCTTAAAAGGAGAAGGCAAACTTTGACAGGAATCATTGATAGGTGGCATATCAGTTCTAGGCAAACTGGGTTACTGGAGCCTTAAATATAGTTTGTTCTCAAGGGGGAATATTTAACCTACTTATCCTGTCATTGTAATATTAGTTTTCCTAGCAAACCCTTTTTTAAAAAAATTGCTACATTGTAAAAGTAAACTTTAGTCCAGCCCCTTTAGGAATTCTGAACTTTTTGAAAGAGTGGGAGCTATGCTTCTTAAAGCTTCTAATACCTTTAAACTGCACTAAGACTTTTGGGACACCTCCTCTTAAGGTGGGGTGTGTGTGTGTGTATGCGTATATATACGCATACATCCAGTATCTTTCTTACCTATTAAAGACAGTTAAATTATATGAATCAAAGGCGAATGTGGATCATTTCTAACACTCTCCCCTACTCTCATTACAGGAACATTACCCTTTTGCACTATCTCATAACCACTGTGGAAAAGAAATACCCCACGGTACTGCAGCTGAACGAGGAATTACGTGATATTCCTCACGCAGCAAAAGTGAAGTAAGTGCCCGTCTTGTTCAGCGGGAGTGACGCGGCTCTTTGTTTGTTTCTAGCTTTGCACCTCACTTGTAAAATATCTCATCCTCTGAAATCATTGGCTTTGCCTGTTGGGGTTCCTCCTATTTGCTTTCCTGAGGCCAATACGTGAACATTGAACTGTGTCTCCTCTGCTCAAATAGACTTCATGGTTGTGAGTCTTTTATTTCTCACACCCCTCCATTGTAGCCTGAGTTACTCACTTTGGCATTGTGTAGCCGCTCAGCCTGCTACATGGAAAGGAGGTCGAGAACATGCCTCAAAGGAGCTAGGACGCTACTGGTTTTTTTATATTTTATAGCTTTATTTATAATGTTCTTAAGCATCATTAAATAGTGACTCATAGGCTGTCAATTACCCCTCCTTTTTTTTTTAATTTACTATAAACTCATGGAGAAGCAATTAATTTCAAGGAGACTTAAACATTCTAATTTGTATTAAGCAAATACTGTAAAAGCATAATGACATTTTAAAAGTCAGTGGCTTTGTTTAAAGAAATATATAGAGAACAAGTGGCTTTTAGTCCATGAGCATAGCTTTAGAGATGGAAAGGGACCTGAGAGGTCATGAACCTCCTTATTTTTACAGATGAGGATCAGAGGCCCAGAGAGGTTATGTCTTAGAGACAGGACCTATGCATCCTCCTGCAGAGAAGCATCAGTGGTTAAGCAAATATGGGGCCTATGGCTAAGATGAATTTTTTATTACCGTCCTTGACTTCCCCCAACCCAAAACAAAAGCTTTAGTGATAAGCAGCAATAAAACTGAAGAAGGAGATGGAAGGGTCTACACACCAAAGAAAAACAACTTTTATAGCAAAGAGTTTCAGAAAATTCACAGATTTGACTGTTTCTCATTCCCTTCCTCCAAACCTTCATTTATATTTACTGTGTTGGGGCTTTCTTTATTTACTTTTATGTTCAATTGTCACCGTGTATATTTATCTCGTCACAATCAAGCTGCAGATCTGACATAAGCAAAAGTCATTTTCTTGCCTGAGTATGTACTATTTTAGGGATGTGGCTGAATCTTTGTATTGTTGCCAAGTAAGGAGACTTCCTCTATCAGAGCAAGTTTACACCTTCTCCACAACTTATAGTTTAAGAGTTGCCTGGATGAACATTGAGAAGTTACATGACTTGTTCCAAGTTACACAAACTGTGTGTGTCAGAAGCAGGACTTGAACCCAGATCTTCTTGGCTTCAAGACTGGCTTGCTGACTGTCAATGTTTTGAAATGCAAAATGGCAGTCTGGAATAGTGACATGAAAAAATAATCTAAATGAAGTCAACTTGGGATAAATTCTCTAGTGTGCTATCGACTAGAAACTCTAGTCATTAGTGAAAGACTCACAGACGGTTGGGGAGGAGGTCCAAAAAAAAATTGGCTTACATACAAAGTTTATGAAAACCTACTCAATGGAATTCATCTTGGTTGGAATTTATAATTCTAGAATTGTAGCAGTATTCAGATTTTAGGGCACAGAATGTAAATATGACTTTACCTCAACCCATTTTAGTTGTGTGAAGGGAGCCAAATATGGCAAAATGTAGTCTTTGTTGTGTATGGAATGGCTTGCATAAATTAGGCTTTTGCCTCTATTTTAGATATAATGTCCATGATTTTTGAGTCTACAAGTGTTCCTGTGGGTTGTTAAAAAATCAAAAAGGGTTTAAGAAGAAGCAAATATTGAGCCACTTCCAGACTTTATTGCCAATAGTTTTTCTGAGAGAAATCTTGAAATAAAGGAAAACTAAGGAGTATAAAGTAAACTGATCAGATGAGAATGAACTTTGAATGTTATTGTTTATGAATGGGTTTCTTACTGAAGTGTTGCTATTTACAACAGCATGACTGAGCTGGACAAAGAAATAAATACCCTGAGGAGTGGTTTGAAAGCTGTGGAGGCAGTGAGTATTCCTTGGTTAGATTCTTAAGCCATTTTCACTATTTTGGGTTCTAGTTGTTTTTATCTGGCAATGAGATAAAGAATACTTTTGTGTAGAGGGGCTGGAGGGCGGGGTGGAGCATGCTTTTTCCAAAGCAGCCTGGAATTGTGGAAAGAAATCAATGAAAGTCTGACCTGAGTTCTAGTTGAATTTCTGTTTAATTCCTATTATTTAAAGCCCATTAAGTACCATATCCTTTTGAAAGCTTTTTCTCCTTTTTCTCTCTCTCCTGCACATTTATTCTATTTCTTAATGAGCATTCCTTCTCAATTTCAAATAAGATTTAGCTTGTACTTCCCTCAATGAACTTTTAAAAACCATAATTGTATTTTAAAAAAATAGCACAAATCTGCCTTCTTTCCTTCCCACCACCCTCCCCCTCAGTTAAAAAGGAAAGAAAAACAGAACTCATAGCAAATACACCTAGTCAGACAAAACAAATTCTTTTGCTGTCCATGTCCAAAAATATATGTATTTCAGTTTGCACTTTGAGTCCTTCACCTCTCTGTCAGGAATGGGTAGCAAATTCCATCATGTTGGTTATGAACTTTCAAAAAGTGCTTTATCTAAAATGTATTGTTTATACCATAAATGTAAAATTATCCCCCCTCAAAAAAGCATAATTAATTAAGCAATTGAGCCAGACCTAAAGTTTTGAAATATGTTTATCTCCTTCCGGTAGACAGTCTCATGAATTTATGCATTGTTTTACTGTATACTTCTGTATGTATGTATCATATTCCTCAAATGGACTCTAATCCACATTAAGGCAGGGACCGTGTTGATCTAAATTTTGTATCTCCCCCTTCACTTAGAATATTCTGCACATAAGTGCTCAATAATAAATGTTAAACTCAAATTTCTTGAATAAGAAAGCTGCAAATATAATACCATAGGAGTTGTAAGACTGTGAAGAAATCACTTCAGGATAAGGAGCTTAGGAAATGATAAAACTTACGCTATTTAAAGTCACTTAGCTTCTTGAAGTTGTTGTGCCCAACTCTCTGTGACCCCATTTGGGGTTTTCTTGGCAAATATACTAGAGTGGTTTGCCATTTCTTTCTCCAGCTCATTTTACAGATAAGGAAATAGGCAAACAGGGTTAAGTGACTTGCCCAGGGTCACCCAGCTAAGAAGTGTCTGACACCAAATTTGAACTCAGGTCTTCCTGATTCCAGGCCCAGAGTTCTATCCATTGCACCACGCAGCTGCCCAGCTTTTTGAAGACACTTACCTATTTAAGAAAGAGAGCATGTAGAATAGTGGATAAGGAAGCAAAAAGACCTGGGTCCGAGTCCCACTTCTGATACATAACTGGTATCGTGACCTTGGATAACTTATTAAACTTCACAGAGCTCTGTGTAATACTCTATAAGATGCAGAAAAAATGCTGACCTACATTGGTAGAGGAAGTTCCTGTCAGGGAGCTCCCCACACCGGTTAAATCACAGCACCAGTCCTAATCCCTAACATCTAATTATAAATAAAATGCCATAATGCCTAACCTTTTGTTTATTTTCTTATAACATTAGAGGAATGTGTTGAAAGGAGAAAGGGGAGATTGTATGCATAACCCCCAAATTATCTTTATTTTTTTGTTCAATTAAGTAACAAAAGGTGATGACCTCATTTGGTGAAATATTTTTCTTTTGGCCCCAGTAGCCACAGGCATCATGAGATGAGCTTATAAGGCATTCCTGCACTTCCTTTTAGGTCATTCTGTAGAAGGGTCAGTCCTGAGATCATCTTGCCTTATGGCCCTATTCTGCTGCAATTTCATCTGTTTAGTGAAAGGCTTCTGTGGGAATAGTAATGAAAGAAACTAAACCCAAAGGCCTGCGTAAGGACAGCATGTTCTGTCCTTTGCATCTGAGCTGCTGATTCAACGTGGCTTGTAAAGGAGATGAAAGGAAATTCGAATGAAATAACCTCCTTATTCAAGCTCTAATGATGGAATCTCTAGTTAATTAGAACCATTTTTTTTTCTGGGACTCCCCCACTCCCTTTCTCAGAGCAGTACAGTGTAAAGTGTACAGTCCCAAATTCAGGAGGCACCTAATCTCCCCCAAGACAATTACCAGCTGTAGACAAGAGCAGAGGCGTTCCACTTAGCCAGTTTCCCCGATAACAAAATAGGAATTGTGTGCCTGGGGGATTGTTGTGAAGACAGCACTTTACAAAAGACTTTACAGAAAAAAATTTTTTTTTTTTGCCATTTGGGAGAGGATTCATAAATTGTTTAGGTTAGAAGGGATATCAGAGTCAACCTTATAATTTTACAGATCAGGAAACTTAAGGTCATAGGAATAAAATAATTCACCCAAGGTCGCATAGTAAGTTAATGGACAAGCTAGGACTGAACTCGGGTCTTCTGACTCCTCATGTGGGTATTCTTTCCATTCATTGTGCTCTGTAGCATTCTGTGCCAGCCTCCCAATCAGAACAGTATGGTATTTAAAGATGTAGGAAAATGGTCTCTTTAACTTACCCAGATCTTTATGTATCCAGTGGGTAGTGCTCATTAATTGGGGAATGGCTGAACAAGTTGTGGCATATGATTTTGATGGAGTACGATTGTCCTGTGGGAAATGATGAGAGGGCTGGGTTCAGAAAAAAACATGGCACCATCTATATGAGCTGATGCGAAGTGAAATGAAAAGAACTAAAAGATCATTGTGTGCAGTGATGATGATGATCAACTGTGAAAGGACTTCTGATCAGTACAACGATCTAAGACAGTTATAAAGGACTCAATCCAAAAATGCTGTCTACCTCTAGAGAGAGAACTGATGAACTTTGAGTGCAAATTGAAGTATAATTTTCTCACTTTATTTTTCTTGCTTTTTTTGGAAATATGATTAATATGGAAATATGTTTTGCATGATTTCACATGTATAATTGATATCATTGCTTGCCTTCTCAGTGGGTGGGGAAGAGAAAGGGAGGGAGAGAATTTGGAACTCAACATTCAAAAAGAAAAGAATGTCAGAAATAAATAACAAATTGAAATGTTAGAAGAAAAAAAAGACAGACATGAGATTAAGGAACAGTAGTCTAAGATGGCTGGAACATAGAGACTACATTAAGGGGAAATAATACTAAATAAAAATTACAAAGTCGTTTGGAATCAAACTGTGGAAGGCCTTAAATGCCAGGCCAAGCAGTATGTATTTTATCTTCTAGGCAGCAAGAAGCCACTGAAGATTTTTAGTAGTGGGAATACATGACAGTACCTATGCATATGCATTAAGAGCAGAACCTGAAAGTATCTCTGTGTGTGAGAGGGTAGGGAAGAGTATGTAAGTGAATAAATGAGCATGGACAGGTTTGGTTAAATTTGGGGCTGGCTATAGAAGAAAAGAGTAGAGTTATTTGTGACTTTGAAGAGTAACATTGAGAACAAAATTATATGTGTTTAAGGAATTGGAATACCAGAAATCTCAGGTGTCTCAGCCTGGAGACAAGTTCGTCTCTGTTGTCAGCCAGTTCATCGCAGTAGCCAGCTTCAGCTTTTCTGATGTTGAAGACCTTCTAAATGAAGCTAAAGAACTGGTAAGTCTCACCCAGCACGATCCCCTTTTCTGTTATCAGAGATGTGCAGGCTTGATCCTGTTGACAAATATTGAAGCAGGGACAAAAATGGGATCCAAATGCCATGAGGCAGGAAGAAAAGTGGCAATTGATTCTTTGCCTAAATCGATAGACTTATACCACTTAGATCGGTTTCATTTTCAGGCCTGAAGTCAGTAATTAGAGGAAAGAGCTTCACTGGCATTTTTTTTATTTCTGTAGATTGAAGGCTCTAAGCAACTTAAAACAACTTTAATGCTATGTTCATTTTTCCCTTAGTCACTTTAGAGCAAGCATTTTTAACCTGGGGTCCATGAACTCGATTAAAAAATTTTTTTCATAACTATATTTCAATATTATCAACAGTACCAATAGATTCCATTGAAACTCTAATCTTGAAACTCTTATCTAATGATTTCCTCTCTACTACCTACAAGCATGCCCAAACCTCCATTCTTAAAAAAATCTTTAATGCCACCCCCTCGATCTCTTGTCCTATAACCTCTACTCCCTTTCACAGCCAAACTCCAGGAGACTCTCCCAAACTGTGGAGGGGAGGAAGACTGTTTAACTCACATCAGTCAGTCAATTAGTATTTATTAAAGTTTGCTATTTGCTGAGCACTAGTCCAGAAATACAAATACCAGTAGAAAGAAAGACAAGGAATTTGCATTCTAATAGGGGAAGACCACACATAAAAGGAAGCTGAAGAAGGGAAATAAAGGTGCCTAGGTAGGGGTTAGGGGATTGGGGTGACCAGGCTGGGGAATGGAGTGGAAGTCTTCAGAGTGCAGGCTGGATAAGAATGAACTACATCATGCTTGTGCATCCTCCTTAAATACAGGTTCTAGGAGGAGCCATCCAGTCAGAGAGAGAGTTCACAGGGGCAGAGAGTACTTCCAATGTGTGGATTCCAGCACTGAAGAGCTGGGGAATGATAGAGGAAGTCTGGAGCATAGCCTAGAGAGGAATGAGAAAGTATATATGATAATAATCACCTGTTATAAAATTATGTCAGTCATGTGAGTCAGTCCCAACTATTCTCGTTCTTAAAGCTTTTTCAGCTTGGTGTAGTTTTAACCCTGTGGGCATAGCCTTTAAGAATCCAGAGCTACCTTCATACCAAGATGAGAAATCAGAGTAGAATTTTAGTAAAGGAGGAAGATAATATTGGGGCCTGGTGAACTAGATGCAGCACTTCTTAAACTGTGGGTCACAGCCCTATATGGGCTCACAAAAAATTTGGCAACAGTAAAAGGCTTCTGAATGCACAACGACCAAAAATTAATTCAAAATCAAACAATCTGAGGTGTGTCTGGCAGCGCTTACCTGTGTTGCATTGTGCAACTTCCCTGCAGCCTTGGTTCTGAACCCAAAGCATGCCCATCTTGCACTGAGCATGCCCTCAGGCCGCACAATGCCAACCAAAAAAGGGGTCCCAAGTGGGAAAAGTTTAAGAAGCAAGCCCTGAATTAGAAAATGGTTATCTATGACTGATCTTCATGATAATTAGAATTAGATAAGACAAGATAAAGCTAACTTTGCAAAGGGTCTAAGGATTTGGAGCTGGAAGAAAGAAAATAAGCCTTGGAGAGTAAAGAGATTTGCCCTGGGTCACACAACTGGTAATGGCAGAGCAGGGCCTGGAATCTGGGTCTTCAGATGAAGCCCAGTCCTGTTCCACTGCACTACACGCCTGTCACAAGGCTGCTGTCAGCACCAGCTGACTAAATGCTGTCTATTGACTCCTCAGACACACATTTTGAAATTAGCTAGTGTCAGCAGCCATGCCTCCAGCTTCAATTTCCATTGCATACCCCCTACAAACCCTGTGTGTGCCAGGGCCAACTTAGCGCGCTCAGATGGTTCTTGCTGCCCTGGAGTACGATGAAAAGCAACTGGGCAGGAGACAACGGAGGAGTTAATCTTTAAAGAAACAACACCAAATCCACAGGACCAGCTTTTGAGTGGATGTGTGACTTTGGGTTTGGACCCAGATTCCCACAATATTCTGCACCTAAAACAGACATACGCTTCTCAGTACTGGGATTACTAGATAGATAAAAAAGGTTATTCAGCACTGCTAGAAGTTACTAAACTCTAATACTTTAATGACTCAGCCATAGATTGCCTATTCCTATCTTGATGCATCCTTGAATTTTTTCAGAAATGGAAATGGGTGTCATGTTTGAACAAAGTGATTTTTCTGTTTTGTTTTTTTTTCTTTTCCTTTTGGTGATGGCTTTAATATATATTATTGATTTCTTTTTTTTTTTTTTAAATCGTGTTCATTTCCAAACATGAAACAGATGACCAGCTTCCTTCCTAGGGAGTTATCCTTTATAACATAGAATTTTTTAAAAAGAAGGAAGGAAAAAAAGCAACTGACAATATATATAATATTCCATACCTTTTTCCCCCACCTCTGCAGTGAAGGGAGGGAGATACATTATGTTAGCTTTTTTCCAAGGCCAAGTTTCTATGTTCTAATTAAATGACCTCTCTGCAGCGTTTAACACTGACGGCTTTCTACTCCTGGTACTCCTCTTTTGGTTTTCATGACCCTGTGCTCTCTTGATTTTCCTCCTGGTTTACCATTCTTTCTCAGTCTCTCTTATTGGGTCTTCATCCAAGCCATGCCCACTAGCTATGGTAGCTAGTACTCCTGCTGTTTTTGCTATAGCCTGCTAGATGGAGCAGTGGATACAGTACTGGGTCTGGAGTCTGGAAGACCTGACTTCAAATTTGGCCTCAGATACGTATGAGCTATCTGACCAGTGGCAACTCACTTCCCCTCTGTTTGCCTCAGTTTCCTCAACTGCAAAATGGGGATCGTAATAGCACCTACTTCACAGGGTTGCTTGTGAGGATCAGATGGCATAATTTTTTTTTTTATCAAAAAGCCCTTGATACAGTGCTTGGCACATAATAAGAGTCTATATGAATGCTTATTCCCTTCCCTATTCATTTTATGATACCTTAATGTTCTGTCCCACCCTGTTCTGCTTCTTTTTTTATATATATTTAGTTAATAAAAACCCATTCATTTAATCCATCAAGTTAAACATTGGGTTGAGTAATGGATATTCCACTGAAACAAAGTGTAGAAGGTTCCAAAAACTGTTAGATACCCTGAAATCAACAAATGTTTATTAAATGTCTGCTAGGCTACTAATGCTAATGTTGGAGTTAACAATGATGAAAAACTCAACCCTGCTCCCTCTCCCCCCAGTACAACCCTAGTACAGGGGTCAAATATACAAAAATAAGAAAATATGAGTTAGAGACTGAAGCTTTCACATTGGAGTTATAACCAACATGTTTTTCAGAAGGTTATGGTTATGCTCACTTCACTTCATCAGATTATTCAGGTAGAAGAGCATGTGAATGAGCAAGCTCACTCTTTCCAGTGATACTATTATTGGACTTGTCTTGCTACCTTTCCAATCACCTTCATCCTCCCTTCTCGCAGTTTACGAAGGCAGTGAAGCACTTTGGGGAAGAAGCAGGCAAAATACAGCCAGATGAGTTCTTCGGAATCTTCGACCAGTTCCTTCAAGCTGTCTCCGAAGCCAAACAAGAGAATGAAAATATGAGGAAAAGAAAGGAGGAAGAAGAGCGTCGAGCTCGTATGGAAGCACAGGTAAGAGGAATTTTCTGCGCCATCTTCCTCTCCCCTATCACCCACCAGATATTCTTACGGGATGACCAGAGAGACTTGAAAGGAAAAGAATAATATAATCTGGAAAAAAACTGAAGGGATATATGACAAGAACAATTGAAGATCTTTGCTTTGAGAAGGCTGTTTCGGCAACTAGTATCTGATGTCCATATAATTCAGCCCTTTACCTTAAAAGAAAAAAACCTGTACTATTTTTGATCTGTTCAGTGGTTAAAAAAAAAATGTGTTACTCATGTTCCAAGACAGTTCCCTAATTCTTAAATGAGTAGTAAAAAATTTTTCTTAATTACCACTGATGAGATCCAACTTATACATAGAAAATAAGGAATTTACTATTTTCATTGTTATCTATGTTTTGCCCCAGACTTCTCATAAGACCTTGTCTGTATCACAGTGCTCCTTTTCCCTAGCTTAGAGGTGCTTAGCAGCAATAGCTGTCCATAGCTGATGTATCTAGTGCATCAAAAGATTTCGTTTATTCTCATCTCTATTGAAAATGGAAAACAAATTAATTTAATCCTACCCTTCAAAATACAATTCATACTTACCCTTCAAAATTCAAATACAATACATACCCCTTTTGTGATGGTGATAAAATGTTATTGTGCTATAAGAAGTGATGAGCTTGATGCTCTCAGAAAAAAACGCGGAAAGACCTACAAAAGCTGTTGCAAAGTGACATGTATCGTGTACAAAATAACAGCAATATTGTAAGATGATCAGCTGTGAACGACCTAATCATTCTCAGAATATTCTCAGAAACACCATGATCCAAGACAACTCTGAAGGACTTATGATGAAAAATGCTATCCATACCCAGAAAAAGAATACAAATTGAAGCATACTTTTTTAACTTTCTTTATTTTTCTTGGTTTTTTTTTGTCTATGTTGTCTTTTACAACATGACTAATATGGAAATGTTTTGCATGACTGCACATGTATAACCTATATCAAATTGCTTGCCTTCTGAGTGGGGAGGGAAGAAGGGAGAGAATTTGGAACTCAGAGTTTTAAAAATGAATGTTAAAAATTGTTTTACATGTAATTGGGGAAAAATAAAATACTAAAAAAAAATACATACCCTTCAAAATTTAAAAAAAAAGATTTTTTTAAGGGGCAGCTAAGGTGGCGCAGTGGATAGAGTGCTGAGATTGGAGTCAGGAAGAGCTGAGTTCAAATTCAGCCTCGGATACGTATTAGTGATTAAATCACTTAACCTTTGCCTTCCTCAGTTTCCTTAACTGCAAAATGAGGATAATAAGAGAACCTACCTCCTAGGTTGTTGTGAGAATTAAATGAGATAATATTTGTAAAGTGCATAGTACAGTGCCTGGCACACAGTAGGCATTTAATAAATACTTATTTCCTTCCTTCCTTTTAACAGCTCAAAGAACAGCGTGAAAAAGAACGCAAGGCAAGGAAGACAAAAGAGAACTGTGAAGAAGGAGGAGAGTTTGACGACCTTGTTTCAGCTCTACGCTCAGGCGAAGTTTTTGACAAAGACCTTTCTAAATTAAAACGGAATCGCAAGCGCATTACCAACCAGGTGACAGACAGCAGCCGGGAGAGACCAGTCACAAAACTCAATTTCTAAATTTTCCTTTTACATTTTTTGGAAAGCTCATTAAGCAGTCTTTTGAAGTGGCTAGAACTTTTCATTACACTGCCTTGCAATCCAAACGGTGGCTGTCCTTTTTTTCCCATCTGTGAATGAAAGTGTATGTATGTATGTTTGTATGTATGTATGTATGTATGTATAAAATGTACAAAGAGGTCTTTTGTGGGAGTGACTGGAGACAAGTATGTTTGTGTTCTGTGTACTACAAGTACACGTATGTACATTCACGTTGAGTATGACTTTATTTTTCTTTGCTTAATGCTGGTGACTGTTCAGAAGCACAACATTGTCTACTGAGAAAAACAACAGAGACATTCCTTATAGTTTAAAAAAAAAGGAGAACGAAAAAAGTGTTAAGAATCATTTTATAGTTTCCACACTTGATATACTTTGAAACTCTTCATGCTAGTATAACTAGTGCTGAAGAATCTAGATTTCAAATGGGTTTTGACTTTTGATAATTTGATGTTGGTACATCCTCCGAAGTGACTGCGAGGACCAGTCTTGTGTATCCAAAGTCAGTGTGAGGATACAGTCTGTTTACTAGGAATACCTAGGGGATAATGTTTGTTAGGAATGCCTTGCACACAAACTGAATCATGTAGACCATCAAGTGGAAAACTTTTTTTTTTTAAAATATTCAAAACTTGAACATCATCTGTGCCCCTGCTCTGGTTCCTTTGAGTTCTACAACGTGATGATTCCTTTAAATTGCTTTTGAAAACAATTCAGTTTCTCTAACTTGCAACCTATGCTCTTGTTGAAGAATGAGGTCACCAGAACGTGCTTATCGCTACAACAACACAAAAATGCATTTAAACTTTTCCCCCCCCAAACAAAAATTTTCTACCCAAGACCAGAAAAGAGGAATTCTCTGAAGGGAACAGAGATCCTAAAGTTGTTTTGTTGTGTATTCCATGTTGTATTCAATGGGACGAACTGCATCCTCCGTAAATGTAGGTCAAAACTAAAGGCCGTGTTTAACCAATGCACAAAATGTCAACATTGCTAATTGAGATGCCAAGACCTATTTGTCTCTGTGTACGTTTGAAGTGGTTTGCTATTTATATATTGTCATTTTGAATTTTTTGTAAGTAAAGCTACCTGTAAAATTTCAGTCCAAAAAAAAAGTAAACCTCTCAGGGAGAAATTAATAAAAAACAAAGAAAATTGGAAAATAAAAAAAAAATGGATGCTCACCATTAATGTAGCAACCCTTAATATCCTTAAGTTATACATTATATGAGGAGGACTGTTACTACTTTTTGTTTTATTTATTTGTCTGGGGGGCAGTGGTTAAATTTTTTTTTGTTTTTCCATCAGTACTGCTATGGTTGGTTTTCCTGTGGAAAGAGTAGTTTGTCCTGTTGCACTAAATTTTCTTGGGCCCTAAAATGAGTATATCATGTAAAGGGGATTCCTAGTGGGGACAGGATGCCATTTTCTCACATGTACTGTATAACAAACATGCTGTTTAAAAATAATTTGCATAAACTATGATTCTTAGCACAGACAGTGAGGTGTCTGTGCTGTGTGAAAGCTGTGAAATTTTGTTCTGAGAGTTATCAAGAGCTGTGGTTTATACATGTTTTCCTTATTGCAACTTAGCAATTTTCTACGCACTGTAAGTAAAACTCTGACTAGGGGATAAAGCAGTAATAAATACCAAGCAAAGACTGAGCATACCCACACGCTTAGTTTCCAAGTATTTGCAAACATGCTGATTTAAAGGTGCAGCTCAAAGACTTTGCTTAAAAATTAAGGGGTAAGAGGGGGTGGGGTGGGGAGGGCATGCATATTGAGATAATTTTGGTTTTTTCTTTAACTAAAGTGCCTCTATTTATATTTTTATTTATGACAGAAGCAATTTGGTCTGATTGGATTGAGGAAACTGGCATTTTAAAATGGCCTGTGCATGAATTAATGGCATAAAGAATAGACAAGTGTAGATAGAATCAAATTGGGGGCCGTAAACAATCTCGAAAGGAGCAGGTTTGCCAGTGCTTTGTTCCTCTTACCATTCAGATCGTTCTCACTTTAGGGTGACCACCTTGTTGGGCTGAATTTGCCATTTCTCTTATGGTTTCTTCCCCAGAAGTCTGTGTGCAGGTAATTTCTTGTGCCATTGTAGAAAGGCTCCTTTTAGATTGGTGCTGGTGTAAGTAGCCACTTTTCTCTCAAGTATGTACTTTAAAGATTTTTTTTTATTAATGCCAAAAAAGGAAGAACGTAATTTGTAAACTTAAGTATATGTCATGGTGTGTGTGTTAAAGATTTTTTAATTAATGCCAAAAAAGAAGAGTGTAATAATTTGTAAACTGAAATATGTGTCATTAGCCTTCTGAGCTTAGTAATTGGAACAATTTAGTCATTAGGTACAAGGCTGTTTTTAGTGTAGCAAGCAAAAAACATGATGGATATGTTATGAGATTGTACATTTTTTTTTAAATGGCAAAATGCAATAAAGAAATGACTCCCATTGGTTATACATATATGCTTTTCATGAGTTATTTTTTTTTAAGTATTGACCTGCTGTCACTGTGAACCTCTGATTTTAATGCTTGCAAACTCATTACTAACTCAACTTTGCAGCTATATATTTTCATTTTATTTCATACAGAAAGAACCCACAGGTTCACAGAATTTAGGTGTGGCAGCATTCAGTAATATTTTATGTGTTTCAAGATGTTAGTATGTTTATTATTATTTCCTTTGTAGATGACTCACCACCTATCTTATTTATATAATATTCTTCCAGAGTAAATGATTTGCTTGAGACGTAGAAAAGAATCTTTTGCCCTAATCTGAGAAATTAAAATAGGCTTTTAATTTTTTGTAGGGGGAAGAATCTGAATTTTAAAATTAATTGTATAAGCAAGGCATTACAGCGTGTAGACTTTCACCAGGATGGAATTGCTAAAACTAGATACAAATATGATCAATTTTCCCTGAAAATGCTGGGGTTGCCCATCTTGTCTTTGGTCCCTTTCTCTGCTAGGTTCCCCGGATTATAGTCAAGCCAAAAACAATTGCCCTAATACTAGTTGAGCATAGATCTTGCCCAGGCTACAGAAGTGGGGAAAAGGGGGGAAATGGTAGCAGGGGCAGATACCTAGAAAGCAGAACAATTAAAGTGTTTGTTCACCACATTCCCCCACGCAGTACTTTTCCTGTCATGATCCATTGTGTGTACTCCTCTTTAGAAACTGAACTTAAGAAAATGATGTATTAAGGGGGGCACTTTTTTGCTTTTCAGAAGAGTTCAGAGCAGAGTTTCTTTTTAAAGGGAGCTGCCAGTGAATTTGCTCACCAGTCTTCCAGAAGATACGTATTGCAATATGTATTACAATTGATAAGGCAATGGTTTTTCATTTGTCACAAGGTTAAATTGCATAGCAGTATATTTTGTGAGCATGTACTGCCTCTCTTCCGCCTTACACACACACTGCAGAATAGCAACACTTTCAAAGCCTGTGCAAAGATGAAAGGAAGAAGGAAGTAATCTGACAGAAATGAGGAAATGAATTAAGGGCCCTGCAGTAAAATAATCTTCTCCTAGTCTATTTTATCCCTGGATTTTTCTTCAGCAAATAATGGTAGCTCATGTTCACGTAGTATTCCAGTGTTTACAAAGCAAATGTTTGTCAGCATCATACACATTATGTGTCTGGTGGTGGTAGTCATCAGTGGTCCCAAGAAACCTAATTCTAGAGCAGGAAGTTTTGGAGCCATTTTCAAAATCTTTTCTGCATTTTCAAATTCTCTGATTGATTTCAGACCCCTCCATTTCTAGGTTTGTGCCTATTTAAACAACCATGATAAAGGAGGAGAATGTCACATCAATGAACTGATCTTCCGGATAGAAGTTAAAGCGTGGATCTGCTTTGCTTTCTTCAATGTTTACCAAAGCTTTATTCCTTGCCAAGGATATCAGATTGAGGCACACTCATACTTTGATCCCTCAGACTTTTGGAATGGTCTTGATGGTGATTACATTCTATTAAAATGAGGAAATAAAGTAGTTGTGAACAAACTTGTTTTTTTCTTCTCATCAAATGAAGCTGCATGAGACCCAAAAGGGTATTATTATTCGATACAGATGGTGCTTGAAGAGACGGAACCATCCTTCTGTGATGTTGGACAGAATTTTCAGCTTACTGCCACAAAGTCCCACATAGGAAGCCCTTTTGTATTTATGAATACTGACTGCTATGTATAAAATCATATGCCTCTGAATTTCCATGGTAAGTTAATAGGGGCCCGTGAAATAGTAAGACTTAGACAAAGGTTTCTAGTGGTACTGGATAACTTTTAAAGAATTTAGGGGAGAACATGGATAAGAATTATACAAAATAAGAGGCATGGATAAGCTGCAGACTGTACCATTAAAGGGAATTCCACTGTGCACAAGACTGCAGATCCGTCAAAATACAAACACAGTCTTTTCTGAACAGTCTGACATATTTTTTTTAAAACCTTGGAATCCTGCAAAGAAGCTGTTTCTTCTTAACAAGATGTTGGAGGGATAACATTTAAATCAGTCAACTATTTTGAGAATGCTTTTTAAAAACCCCTCCAGGGAAACTAATGCACTGTTATTTGGTTTCCTGGTTTTACTTAGAACTATTCTTCCCTTCTAAAAATAGCTTGAGCACATTGATGAACTATTGGTAGAGCTGTGAATTGGTACAGCCTTTCACTGGGGCAGCTAAGTAGTACAGTGGATAGAGTGTTGGCCCTGAGGTCAGGACCTGTATTCAAATATGGCCTTAGACACTTATTGGCTATGTGACCTTAGGCAAGTCACTTAACCCTGTTTGCCTCAGTTTGTCGTCTGTAAAATAAGGTGGAAAAGAAAATGGCAAACCACTCTAGTATCTGCCTAGAACTTCAAATGGGTTCACAGAGAGTCAGACATGACTGAAATGACTCAACAATAACAATAGCCATTCTGGAAAGCAATTTGGAATTATGCGGCAAAAGTAACTAACTAAACTGTGCATACCCTTTGACACAGCAGTACCGCTATCAGGCACTCAAAGGGATTCAAAGAAAGAGGAAAAGATCTACTTATACTTATAGCAGCTCTTTTTGTAATGACAGCTAGAAACTGTAAAGGGGATGCCTATCAATTAGGGAATGACTGAACAAATTATGGTATATGAATGTAGTAAAATACTCTAGTGCTATAAGAAATGATGAGATGGTTTCAGAGAGAACTAGGAAGACTTATGTGGACTAATGCAGACAAGTGAGCAGAACCAGGAGAACAATTTATACTATAACATCAGCATTGTAAAAGATGAACACATTTTTAAAGACTTGCAAAGTCTGATCAACACAATGATCAGTCAGGATTCCAGAGGACCAGTAATAAAAATTGCCACCACCTCCTTACAGGAAGTGGTTGCTGGACTAAGTGGCAATATAAGTTTTTGGACAAAACCGATATCAGAATTTATTTTTCTCTCCTGGATAAATGTTCGTTACAAGGGCTTTGCTTTTTTCTCTTCCTGCCCTCTTCCCCTCCCCCCATTATCCTCTAGTGAAAAGGGGAAGATAGGTAGGAAGAAGAAAAAAACAAATGCTTGATTATTGAAAAAAAAATAACTGACATAAAAGTTTTAAGATTTTAAAAATACTTTGAATGGGAAAAAAAAGCATTAAGGAAAAGTATAGGAGTGTAAGCACATTTCTGGACACCTGTATCAATGTTTGGGTCATAAAGCAATGCTAACATGAGTTGTACCAAGAACCAAGGGGTGTTAAAGCTGCCATGTCCGGGAATAGTGAAAAAGGAGTAGAGAGGGCAATAAGGAAGAGGGTTGATGGGGTGGAGTTAGTCCATCTTCAAGGATAGCTCTGTCCAGTTTTAGAACTTAACGTTGGTTAGCTATAGTTACCTTAAAGAACTGTCTTGCCTTATTTTTTTTAATGAACATTTAAATCTCAGGAAACATGAGCAGACAAAAAGAATACTTGGAGTACAGATTCAGGCTAGACTCACTCACATCAGCAGGAAGGGGGCTATACCTGAGAAAACGCCAAGAATACCAACCCAAAAGTGATTTGGAAAATTGAGCCATTTGATATGCAAGCATGGTGAGTTTTTGCTGAGGCAACAGAGGCTCCCTAAAGTTTGTTTGGTCATATGTGCGTCAGTGATGACATAAGGTTGAACAAAAGAGGTTGGGACATGGTGGACCCTTGTGCATGCAAAGACCCTTTGGGAAGGAGTGAAGGAGGAGAGATTCCTGTCAATATCATGAGGAGGAGAGAGGAAAAGAACGGGCCTCAGTGTACACAAGGTCACGTATTTCTGGAAAAAGGTATTTTAGCTATCTTGGACTCTGGTCCCATAGCTGCTAGCAAGAGTTGTGAGAACTAATAAAGTATTAAAATAAATCAAGATTCCCTGTCCCCACCCGCAATATTATTCCTAACCATAATTAGGATGCAAGGAACACTGGGAACGGCATTAGTTCTCTCTTAATGGACTGAAACCTAAAAGCAGAATTACTAAGTTTTAACTAATTGATGTCAGTTACTATTCGGTCCTCATAGCTTTGACAAGAGATAGAGCCACGTAACTAAGGCTGCTCCCCAAGGCTCTGTTCCAGGCCTTCTCTTTTCTTCCCTTGTCTCTTCCTTGGCAACCTCATCAATCACGTGGATTTAGCTATTATTTCTATTCAGATGATTTCCAGATCTATATGTCCAGCCCTGGTATCTTCGTGAGCCCTGGTCTTACATCACCAGCTGCACTGGAATTTCAAATTGAATGACCCATAATTCTCTTGAAGCGCAATGTATTCAGTGCAACTCATTGCACTTTTCCCCAAAACCTATGCCTCTTCTTAACTTCCCTGTTTCCTTCGAGGACACCATCATCCTTCTGTCATCTGGATGTCTTCCTCAGCTCCTCACACTCCCTTACTCCATATATCTATGCAGTTTAAAATTTTTGTCATTCCTACCTCTACAACATCTCACGTCAGTTTTCTTCTCTCAACTCATATAGCCAGCAGCCTAGTTTAGGCCCTTATCCCCTCCTATCTAGACTACTGCAATAGCTTCCTGTTTTGTCTCCTTGCCTTTTAGACTCTTCCCTCTCTACTCCGCCCTCCACATAATTGCCAAAATGATTTTAGTAAAGCATAGATCTGATCATGTCATTCCCCTACCCAATAATTTCAAATGGCTCCCTACTGCCCCTAGGATCAAATAGAAACTCCTCTTTGACATTTCTTTTTGCTCCAACCTACCCTTTCAGCCTTGTTAGATATTACTCTCCTTCACACACTATAATGTCTAACCAAACTGGCCCTTTTGCTGTTTCTCACATATAACACTCCATCTCCCACCTCCGTGCCTTTGTACAGGCTTTCCCATCTACCTAGAATGCATTTCCTCTTCGCCTCTACTTCTTAGAAGGCCTTGTTCCCATAAAAATAGCTTAAACACCTCCTACATGAATTCTGATTCTTCTCAC